AGCAAAACATGCTTACCACTATAGGACCCTGGAGTATGAACATGGGATGGCAGCATGCAGTGGGTCCAAGAGAGAACAACTGTGTTTTCCATGGTCATTATATATATATATATATATATATATATATATATATATATATATATATATATATATATATGGCATCTGCATATGGCACCTGTGTTTGATGCCTTGATCTTACACTTGATTCTGTCATCTCAGTTTGATACTTGAGGATTTCACATGGAAACTCTGCACTGTGATGATTTGTTTTAAATATTGTTTGTTCTCAAAATTACAGAGCAGTGAACTAGATAAAGGTCATAAGTATTACATTTTGGGTGGCCTGACCTAAAATGTGCCATTAAAGTCAATTCTAAATGGCTTTTAAAGAGGAATACAACAAAAATAAAACACAATTTGCTTGCGCAGGGAAAATAATAGCAAAATGACACTATATCTGCTGAGAACAATTCCCAAGTGTTCTACTTGAGCATAATGCATGAGTGTGAAGCCAGAGTCTGAAACCTAACTTGACGCATGAAGCCTACATTTTAAAGTTTGAAGGGCATATTTTACAGAAAGGATTACTCAGATATTGATAACAAATTACAGGGATTTGGAGCAGGGATGAGAAGGGTTACTGATAACTAACTCAAATTTTCAAAGAAGAGGTGAGGACAGTTGATCCAAGTAGCAAAGCTTTTAGGCTGGCCATACATTATACAACTTTCTTGAGAATTTTGGTTTAGATTTACCAAAAAGCATATAATAGGAGGTCAACTCTAAACACTTTCAATTGTATCCAATTAGGCAAGCCCTTGCACTACATAGTTGATGGTAAATCTTAAGGAAATTGGGCAGAAATTGGACAGAAAATTGTAAGAAAACTGTATAGTGTATATCCAGCCTTTAGGATAACCAACCAAATCTTTAATAGTAAAAAATGTACTTATGGAAGTGATTAAGGTTGATGCCTCAGCAAAGTTGATAGGATGGCAGTGACACTTCATTGCAATTTGGAGGACAATTGATTAAGTTTTGGGTGAAACTGTTCATTCTTTTAAGGCTGACCAAACAGCAGTGTATATTCAGAATATTCTACATTAAAGCGGTAGTAAACCTCCCAAAAATATCAAACAAAAAAAAATCTCCTCCCTGCAAGTTATAGTTGTGTTCAAAATAATAGCAGTGTGTTGAAAAAAGTGAATAAAGCTCAAAATCCTTCTAATAGCTTTTATTTCCATAAACACAAATGCATTGGAAACACTACACATTCTATTCCAAATCAGAACATGAAGAAAAATATATCAAATTTGTGTTGTTCCTCTAAAAAAATTGAAGAAAAGGGAATATTAGACTGTTCAAAAAAATAGCAGTGTTTGAAATCTTCTTTACAAACTCAAACATTCACTATATAAACTGAAAAATGTTTGAAGACTTTGCTTTCCTTTGAATCACTTAATTAATATTTAGTTGTATAACACTGTTTTTGAGAACTGCTGTACATCTGTGTTGCATGGAGTCAACCAACTTTTGGCACCTGTGAACAGGTATTCCAGCCCAGGATGATTGGACTACATTCCACAGTTCTTCTCTATTTCTTGGTTTTGCCTCAGAAACTGCATTTTTGATGTCACCCCACACATTTTCTATTGGATTAAGATCTAGGGATTGGGCTGGCCACTCCATAACGTCAATCTTGTTGGTCTGGAACCAAGATGTTGCACGTTTACTGGTGTGTTTGAGGTCGTTGTCTTGTTGGAACACCCATTTCAAGGGCATTTCCTCTTCAGCATAAGGCAGCATGACCTCTTCAAGTATTCTGATGTATTCAGACTGATCCATGATCCCTGGTATGTGATAAATAGGCCCAACACTGTAGTATGAGAAACATCCCCATATCATGATGCTTGCGCAACCATGCTTCACTGTCTTCACAGTGTACTGTGGCTTGAATTCAATGTTTGGGGGTCGTCTGACAAACTGTCTCCGGCCACTAGACCCAAAAAGAACAATCTTACTTTCATCAGTCCACAAAATGTTGCGCCATTTCTCTTTAGGCCAGTCAATGTGCTCTTTGGCAAATTGTAACCTCTTTAGCACATGTCTTTTTTTCAACAGTGGGACTTTGCGGGGGCTTCTGGCAGATAGCTTGGCTTCACATAGGTGTCTTCTAATTGTAACAGTACTCACAGGTAACTTTAGACCTTCTTTGATCTTCCTGGAGCTGATTGTTGGCTGAGTCCTTGCCATTTTGGCTATTCTTCTATCCATTCGAATGGTAGTTTTTCACTTTCTTCCACGTCTTTCAGGTTTTGGTTGCCATTTTAAAGCATTTGCGATCATTTTAGCTGAGCAGCCTATCATTTTCTGCACTTCTTTATATGTTTTCCCCTCTACAATCAACTTTTTAATCAAGGTACGCTGTTCTTCTGAACAATGTCTGGAACAACCCATTTTCCTCAGAATTTCAGAGAGAAATGCACTGTAACCAGCATGTACAACATTTGCTGCCTTCCTTCCTTAAATAAGGGCAATAATTGCCACCTGTTTTTCAAAGAATGAATGACCTCACTAATAGAATGCATCGCATACTAGCACATTATGAAAGACTTACCGAAAAACAACTCCCACACATGCTATCCATTGAGAGCGCAGTGAGCATGCTCGAGCATCACTGGCACTACTAAAATAAATATCTCCTAAATAGTGCACATTTAGGAGATATTTACTGAACCTACAAGTAATCCTTAGTATAGGCTTACCTCTAGGTACAAGGAAAAAAAAAAAAAAAACTTTACTACCACTGTAATGACACATATCTTTATATTGCAAATAAAATGCACTATACTTGGGCAATTAATAGGTTAAAATGAATGGAAAATACAATATTTTCATTTTAATTTATGACATGACAGAAAATAATGAATGTATCAAAATGTAACAAGTAAACAATCTATTTTTAAAAACTTCATGTCCAAAGCATTGTTCACATAAATACTAAAACCTGCAGTGCAGTTTTGCTACAATATGACATTTATTACAGGTACTTATATAGTGCCGTCACTTTACGCAGCGTTTTACATATATACAGTATATTGTACATTCTCATTAGTCCCTAACTCACATTCATATGTACACATACTAGGTCTAATTAACCTACCAGCATGTATTTGGAATGTGGGAGGAAACTGAAGTACCTGTAGGAAACCCACACAGGCTCAGGGAGAACATGTAAACTCTAGGCCAGTAGTGCTGCGGTTGAGATTTAAACCAACGACCCAACTGCTGCTAGGCGGAAGTGCTATCTACTTAGTCACTGTGCTGCCCTTGAAACCCTCAAACAATTACAAGGGACTCACCTTCACAGTCCCATAAAAGTGATCTGGTATATTTATTTTTGTATTCATTTTTTTTCTTAAGTGAAACTGTATCCAGGCTATTTACATGATCTATGTGAGTTTTTAAACAAGCCTAACCTCTGTAGCTGCAAGCATGTGGAGCAATTCATCTCCAAGGTTTACAGCAGAAAAACCTTTACTCTATATTTGAAATCAGCTAAGCTCAACTCCCCCACCCTTCATAGATCATATACTCTAGGCTACAATGGATATTAGAATACACTGGATATTAAGAATATATCAATACTTGAATGCCCAGAGCCTGGGCAGATACACTTTCATGTATATTGTTGCTAAATTGTAAAACAACCTGTGATAAAATAACATCATATACAATTACCTAAACATGTAAAGAACAATAGTAAGCATTTTACTGTGTTTAGGCTTGTAGTATGAAAGCCCTTGTGTGTAATTTCCCATTATATATATCATTTTTACAAACTAATTACCATTAAAATCCTTAGCATGCCAATTCACCTTTATGCCTCATTACATAAGGAACCAAAGCTTTATCAAGAAGCGCAGATTTCCTATCTCCTGTGCACTGACCACTGAACAGAATTAATGTTGTGATGTAGTAGAGGACACATTGATTGCTAGATAGCACCCTAACCTCTGTGTTGTGGTGTTCCGGAGTTCCGGAGTGAATCCACCACCACTATGCAGTCACCAGAAGATAGTATATAATTGCGCCCAATGCATATTACAACCTCTGCAGGTCGCTCATATTTCCAGGTACTACCACAGATGGCCAGCAATCCTGTGAAAAATAGCTCACCACATGGAGCCCAGAATTAATTTCATGGTGTAATAAATTTATTATGAACCAGATACGTAAAACAAATGGATAAAACAAATGTTCCACATGGAAAAAACATATAAACTAACAGCAGTCAGACTTACTAAGATGGCGACCATTCCAAACACAGATACGTCCTGCCTACGCAATTTGTGCACCAGCACGTCTTCGGTGGATACGCCTCTGAGGCAATAGTTATGACAATTCATGCAAGATTATCCAAAGAGACAAACACAACATTTTTTCTCAATAACTGAGCTAATGATTTTTGTTCAATCAGTACTGTATTTCTCCATAAAAACTCGAGTGACTAACATTTACCAACAGTGAAAACATGAAAACAACCTGGAAGCAGAAAGGGCAATGAATACAATCTTTATATACAACAAAAATGCTCTCAAATATGAAAAAAATATTGTTTTCAGGATAGAAATATGTATATTAGCAGTAATGGAGTAATAATCATATTGCTACAATTTGGTAATTATCTGCGGGGAGGGGGTCACACGTACATGGCATCACTTCCATCTAAATTACATGCTGGTACATTGCTATGCACATGAGAAGTTGTACTGGCTCATACGAGAATTTTTGTATGCTTACTAGCACTTTCATATTCGATATAAGAGTAGCATACAAAACAACATGAACAATCATTTGTCTGATTTCCTCATCATGTACTAGGCATAACTATAGCTATTCTTAAAAATGTTCCCTCTCCCCTCCTCCTACCTATCCTACATGTAAATCTGCCTAACAGATGCAGAAAAAGGCAGTAGGAATCAGGGGCAGACTGACAACTCATGGGGCCCCGGGCAATAGGGGATCATGGGGCCCCTGTGTCCTTGCCCAAACTCAAAAAAGCCTATGAAAAAGATACCAGGGGCATCTCATGGGGCCCCCTACTGACCCCGGGCCCTTGGGCAGTGCCCGAGTTTCCAAATGGTCAGTCCACCCTGGTAGGAGTATAGGCTATAACACGGTTTCTAAAATTGTGAGTAGTATCAAAGGAACAAAAACATGTTAGTAGTGATGAGCCGAACACCCCCCTGTTTGGTTCAAACCTAACAACAGTTCTACCATGAAATTTGAACTAGGACAATTCACTAAGGAGTGTCCTAGCACATCCGAATATGGGGTAAGACACCGCACAGCTACTAAAATACTGCATGAGTTATATTATTAATTCATGAGGTATTTTAGTAGTGAAAGCATTCTTTAACGTTTAAGCTGTCAATGGGGCTCCCGGCTGACAGCTGAATGTAAAAACAATTGCAGGCAATTCAAAAATTAGCAAAAAAACAGCATGGGGTTCCCCTCATACATACTAAGCCCTTCATTTCTGGTATAGATTTTGAGGGGAACCCCCATGCCAAAAGTTTTTAATTATGGCGTGGGGGTCCCCCCCAAAAATCCACACGAGACCCTTATCTAAACATGCAGCCCCACAGGTCAGGAAAGGGGGGGACAAGCGGGCGTCTCCCTCCTGAACCATACCAGGCCACATGCCCTCAACATGGGCTCCCCCCCACCAAAGCACCTTGTCGCCATGCTTCAGCTTTAGGGAAGCTGAAAATTTGGTTGGTGATCCCAAATGGGAAATCCAGCAGGGACACGCTAATGACAGGGTAAAAATATAAGAGAATCAAAAGAGATAGAAAAAAAACGGTGAAGGGAGGGAAGTGGGGGGTATGAGGGAGTGAAGAGGGAGAGGGGGGATTAGGGAAAGAGGAGGAAGGATGGGAGTGGGTAAGGAGGGAAGGCTCATAACTCTCCTTTCCTATCCTCTCCATTATGGACCCTATTTTATTATTATATTTTAGGAATGATTAGAAATTTTAGAAAGAAAGTGTAGACATCCATCATACTATTACATTTCAGAGAGGTTTGCATGAAATGTGACATCTAAAATACAGCACTAATGATGGAGTTCAGCGTGAAGAAATACTGAATGCTGTGTGCCAACAAAAAGGGAAAGTAAAGTAAATTGTGGGAGGTCACATACAGCAACCAAGCACTCTAAAACTCAATGGTGCCACCTTTAGTATATTTATGACACATACAGGAGGTTGCATAATTCACCTATAGGTGGGCCCTATAGCTACCACTTGCTGTGTTCTCTATTGTCTAAAAAAAGCTTGAATTTACTACTGAAGTACCAATTATGAATCCTGTTCATAAGCTGGAAGTAAACAGCAGTATGGTGTTTAGACTACTATCCAAACTGCCAAAGGCTGCCAGAATATTAATGAAGAAAAATTCTTGCTTCACTTGGAGCACTGAAAGTTCTTAATCTTGTAAATTACAACCTTACATGAGAAGTAAGAGTTTGAGTTTTCTTATATCACTGAAATAGCTGGTAGTTAGATTGCCAAGTTTCCCTAGCACAATAAATGAGCAAAGTTACGTAGCGTCCCCCTTCTTCTTATAAGTCTGGAACATTCACAGGTAAGCTGGCCACTGATATGCCCTGCCTTTTTCAAGCAGCTAATAAAGATTTTTTGCCTTAAGCCTAGGGAAGGAAAGGGGGTCTAGATCATAAAGAAGAAAAACCTGCCTTGTTTTTGAGGAATAAATAAAATGAAAATCCACTTTGCTCTCTGCACTCTAAAATGTCCTATACGTTTTCTGTAAATAGATTTGGTGACAGGGGATGTCCAAACTGAAATTTAACTCCATTATGTTATTCATTGAACCACTGTTGAATGTATTAAGCAATATTTCTAGAGGTCATAATGGTTTTATATATAGTGAACAATTTTTACACCATAAAGTGCAACTGAATTATTCACAGAAATACAGTGTAACAACGGGCATAACAAAACATTACATATGAGGTGGTATCAAAATGTTGGAGACTAGTTTTGTAACACACCAACAAATGGCAGCACAAGACTGTCACAGGGAGCACTGACCTTCAAACGTCAGTGTGTCAAAAGACATCATCCTGTTCACATCGGAAGCTGTGAGACTGGTGCTATTCTGACCACGTGCATTACCACGTCTGCTATTTCATCATGGACAGCACGTTAGAACAAAGACTAAACAAGAAATTCTCCATGAAACTGGGTGAATCTGCCACAGAGATGTTTGACATGATTCGGAAAGTTTACGGCGATGCTGCAATGAGTCGTTTAAGGTGTTTTGAGTGGCATGTGCACTTCAAGAGCTGAAGAACATCACTGGAAGATGACGAGAGATCAGGAAGACCTTCAACAAGCTCAAAATCCGGGGGCGCATGCGCGGCCGGCCAGCAGATGACAGCTCACTGAGCAGAGCTCCATCCGTCCACCAGTGACATCGCGGCACACAGCGAGCCCGAACCCAGCAATCATAGCAGGGACACAGTTAAGGGTCACAGTACCCTCGGTCAGCATGACCTGACGTCTGAAAACACCGAGGCAGCCGAGGAAACTAACTTCTTCCCAGCCTTCAGCCCCAGTGGACAAGATGGCGCCGGCTGCGTGACAGGCAGTCTCTCCTCTCATGAAGGAGATACACAGGGAGACACAGCATACCACCCGGACCCCAGGCTGAAGACACCACTATACCCAGGAGACCCGGGTGAGTCCTCTCCTCCCCTACAACTAGCAGCCCAGCTAAATCCAGACCGAGACTGGACACTGATGTCCCCCATGACAGACATCCATCCGTTTCACTCTCAAATCCTGACAACTCTCCATCTTTGATTGATTCCTATCCTGCCTCTGACCAACCTGTCACAGAAATCGCAATGAAGAACATGCTCTTATCTCTGCGACAAATGCTGCATAACGACTTGACGGCGACACTATCCCAAATCTCCATTACCATACAAAAACAAGAAAAACGTATTCACCATATTGAAGATAAATTAGGAGAAATGTGCGCCGCACATAATGACCTCATAGATGCACACGCAGACCATACAGCAGAGATTGATCAAATAAACCTCAAATTAGCAGACTTAGAGGATCGCTCCAGGAGAAACAACATAAAATTCTGTGGTATTCCCGAGTCCGTTACAGCGGACGCCATAGTCCCATTCATTCAACAACTCATGAAGCATATCATTCCTACACTCACAGATGTGGAACTAGCCATAGACAAGGCACATCGCATTCCCCAACCATCATTTCTTCCAGCCGCAATTCCCAGGGATACATTGGCACGCATACACTTCTATCATGTGAAAGAGAAGATAATGATAGCCGCCAGAAACCCCAATTCAATACCATCAACACATGCAACTATCAAATTATTTGCCAACTTATCCAAAACGACACTTCTCAACCGTAAGAAACTCGTCACTATAACGAAAGCATTATGGAACCACGGAATAGGATACCAATGGGGTTTCCCCACGAAACTAACCGTTAAACACCAAGCTAGGATCTACACGATCAAATCCTTAGAAACAGGCATATAACTCCTGAAAACATGGAACATCATTCCGGAAGACTCTCATCAACCCGCTTCCAACTGTCCGCAGCAAATGGACGCAGAATAGTCATGACTCCAAACCAGCCGGCACGGCTCAGCTCACCACAAAATGGGCATTGCTCCATAACCAACTACAACTGGCAAACGGCCCAGTATTGACTTCCTCACACTTCAAGATTCCTCCCAGCATGATTCCTATAGTGAACCATGCTTGCTCAAGCCTCCATGTTACGAAGTAGCATATATTGCTACCCATGTCACTTGTATTTTTTGCAAGTTCTTTTTATTCCCCCTCCTCCCCCACAGTACCAGTCAACTCGACTGAATCTATCCTCCCCACAGATCTCCAATACAAGATGAAAACCTTCTTTCACAGAAACGGTCAAGCCCGTAACAGGTCCTCACTAGATGATCACCACCCACGCCATGAAAAACCCTATCTTTCTCCACTTTCTTGGAAACAACACCAATACTTCAAACAAACCATCAACATAGGAAAAAATTATTAGTATATCTTAGCTAAATGTCAGAGGCCTCAACTCACCTTATATAAGATCCTTACTTTCGAAAGAAGCTTGATCTTTACAAGCAGATGTACTATTCCTACAGGAGACCCACTTCGCCTCTACTAAAATCCCCAAGTTCAAGATCCACCACTACACCTCAACTTATATGTCAACAAACCCCAAGAAAAAAAATGGGATCATCACGGCCATTAAAGATTCCCTCCAATACCAATTAATTTCCAAAATAGTGGACCCACAAGGCCGCTACCACATATTGATCTGTAAAATCATGGACATTCCATATACACTAGTCAACGTCTACGGCCCAAATACTAATCATCTTCAATTTTTCAACAAACTCAGCGCAATCATCTCTCAACATAGAAAAGGCAGACTAATCGTTGGCGGAGATTTCAACGTCATTGGTAACCCACTCCTAGACTCCTCCTCCAATAGAAGTGCCCCCAAACAGACCTTTAACCGCTTTCTCCATTCCAACGTTTTATATGGCGCCTGGTGATGCCAACACAGCACGGAAAGAGACTATACCTACTATTCTCCATTCCATCTATCCTACTCTCGCATAGACTTCTTCATCACCGACAAATGGACTCTGCAACATGTCACTTCCTCCAAGATTGGCATCATCACATGGTCAGACCATGCCCGGATTACTATCTCTCTTGACCACAATCAATACCCACAGATGCCGCGGCTATGGCGACTGAACTCATCCCTAGTGAAAAACCCAGACCTCAAGAAACGCATATTGGATGCACATCGCACATTTTTTTAACTCAATGACACAGCTGATATATCTATCTCCACATTGTGAGCTAGTTACAAGGCATACATGAGAGGTATTCTTGTACAACTTAATTCCCACGTCACGAAACAAAGAAACCAACAAATAGATAAACTCCTCTCCTCCGTTAAATAAAAAGAACAAATCAACAAAACATCCCCGAATCCATTAATTTCTTCCTCTCTTATTACAGATAGAAACAAACTACGATCCCTTTTATTATATAAATACGATCTTAACCTCCAAAAGATGCAATCAAAATATTACTCACTAGGTAACAAAGCCAACTCAGTACT